CAGGGCCAAAGGTGAGGCCCATCAAGCACAGAATAATAATTTTAATCTCAGGATAAAACGCAGGTACTGAGGCTGAAAGAAGCTTCAGTGCTCTCAGAAGACTAAAAACATGGCTAAGGTCAACAATGACTCAAATGAGATTAAACAATGCTGCTGTATGTCCACCAGCAGAGACTGGACAGTACAGATGTAAAACAAATATGCCAGCAGTTTACCTCAGTTAGTGAGAGGAGCAGGCCCGTGTTTGGCTGCTTCACATAGAGGACACTGAGTTGTTGTGTGGGACACCAGTAGTATTAATGTCTGTTGCTGTAACAGTAGTTCATGTTTAGAATAAATAATCCCAGCTCACTGATCTGATCGGGGCAGTAGTGCCTCAAATGTTGCATAATGTTGCTGAGAGATCTTTTGCTTTGTGGTCATCTTAGACGAGTAGTTTTATGGACAAAAACCACCAGGTCATTGAGTGTTCCCTTAGTGCCAAAATATAACAGATGTTGGTGTAACTGAAGTAATGTTGTTAAGTCCTTAAAGTCATATTCTTTATTGTCATGACTGTATTTGAAGCTATTTTTATGTTTGTATGATACCTGATTTATATGAAATATGGCTGAAATAAACTAAAGCCTAAAATACTTAGTCATTTATTTAATAGTAATTTAACATTATATAATTCACATATAAAACTATGAATTGTGATTTTAAATGGTTTAAAAGCATGTAGACTAGCACATGTAGGCAAGTATATTTACTTCTTTTTTTTTATTATCAAGAAGCAAAGACAAAAAGGGAAAAAATAAGAAACAGGGCAGCGTTCGGTGGCTGAATCATCCGTCCCCACCAACGCCTAAACCAAATCTACGCCCTTGTGTCATGATGTGTGAAGAGCACAGAGGGATGCTATGCACTAAAACACCTTCCTGTTCCTTAAACAAGCCACAGCTTGTTTCATGTTCTTATGCTGCTCATTTATTGTAGTCCGAAAGTGAAAGTACACCAGAATATTACAGCTAACAAGTAAACACTGACATACATCTTCCCACTATCACCAAGTACTTGCTCATATGGGGTTGTCTGATAGCTAAAGCTTTCTCCAGAACACTGTAGCTATTGGGGTATCTGGGTCATCATCACAGTGTTTTTGTATTTATGATTTGAATTTTGTTTGTTCATTATAGTGTTCTCTGTGTGACTGGTTCCTAGTTTAGTTATCTGTATTTCTAGTCTAGGTTTTCTGGTGTTTGGTCCCGTTCATCTTGTCTTTATGTTTATTTTTCTGTTCCTCGTCATGTTTATTTGCCTTGCTCTCTCGTCCCTCTGGTTATGTTGTTAGGTCATCTGAGTCTTTAGGCTTTCATTGTCTTGCCTCCCTGCTGTTCCATACCCCATGTGTAGTCTTGTCTCTATATTTATTCCCTTGTTCCTCAGTCATGTGTCTGTCACTCCTGTCGTTGCCTGTACCCAGTCTGCGTCTCAGAGTCTGTGTTTTTCTGTACTTCCTGTTTTACTTTGATAGTCTCCTGTCGGTGTGAGTTGTGTTCTGTTTTGTTTTGTGTTCTGTTACCTGCCGTGTTTCCAGGTGTTCCCTTTTTGCTCTGTTTCCCTCTTGTATTTATTGTGTTCGTCTTCCTCTGTTCAGCATCACACTGTCCATCATTCCCCACTGTGTGGTTCTGCCTGTCTGTTTAGTTCATGTGTATTCCAGTTTGTTTTCTTCTTCTTGAGTCCAGCAATAAAGCTGAGTTCTGTAGGTCATTCTGCATTGTGTGTCAAATATTCTGCCTGCTGCACACAGTGTATGGCAGTCGGCTCTTTACAGAATAAACACAGTAGACAATTTGGTGCTATATTGATAAACTTGAAGTGAATCAATTCTCCCCCGTGTCTGCGTGGGTTCCCTCTGGGTACTCCGGGTAGCTGGGATAGGCTCCAGCGCCCCCCGCGACCCTGAAAAGGAAAAGCGAATGGATGGATGGATGAATCAATTATTTTTCTAGGATGGCTGCTTAGATTTATTTTCTCTCATATTTTTCCCAGGTATCATCACATCTGCTTGATCCTCACAGCTCATTATGGCAACACAGTGAGTACTATTAAAACAACTGAACAAATTATGAGGTATACAGTGGTTTGCAAAAGTATTCGGCCCCCTTTAAACGTTTCCACATTTTGTCACATTACAGCCACAAACATGAATCAATGTTATTGGAATTCCACGTGAAAGACCAACACAAAGTGGTGCACATGTGTGAAGTGGAACAAAAATCATACATTAATCCAAACATTTTATACAAATAAATAACTGCAAAGTGGGGTGTGCGTAATTATTCAGCCCCTGAGTCAGTACTTTGTAGAACCAGCTTTTGCTGCAGTTCCAACTGCCAGTCTTTTAGGGTCTGTCTCTACCAGCTTTGCACATCTACAGACTACAGACTGAAATCCTTACCAATTCTTCTTTGGAAAACAGCTCCAGCTCAGTCAGATTAGATGGGCAGCGTTTGTGAACAGCAGCTTTCAGATCTTGCCACAGATTCTCGATTGGGTTTAGATCTGGACTTTGACTGGGCCATTCTAACACATGGATATGTTTTGTTTTAAACCATCCCATTGTTGCCCTGCTTTATGTTTAGGGTCGCTGTCCTGCTGGAAGGTGAAGCTCTGCCCCAGTCTCAAGTCTTTTGCAGACTCCAAGAGGTTTTCTTCCAAGACTGCCCTGTATTTGGCTCCATCCATCTTCCCATCAACTCTGACCAGCTTCCCTGTCCCTGCTGAAGAGAAGCCCCCCCAGAGCATGATGCTGCCACCACCATATGTGACAGTGGGGATGGTTCAGAGTGATGTGCAGTGTTAGTTTTCCACACATAGCGTTTGCATTTTGGTCTCATCTGACCAGAGCAGCTTCTTCCACATGTTTGCTGTGTCCCCCACATGTTTGCTGTGTCCCCCACATGGCTTGTGGCGAACTGCAAACGGGACTTCTTATGGTTTTCTGTTAACAATGGCTTTCTTCTTGCCACTCTTCCATAAAGGCCAACTTTGTGCAGTGCACCACTAATAGTTGTCCTATGGACAGATTCCCCCACCTGAGCTGTAGATCTCTGCAGCTCGTCCAGAGTCACCATGGGCCTCTTGGCTGCATTTCTGATCAGCGCTCTCCTTGTTGGGCCTGTGAGTTTAGGTGGACGGCCTTGTCTTGGTAGGTTTACAGTTGTGCCATACTCCTTCCATTTCTGAATGATTGCTTGAACAGTGCTCTGTGGGATGTTCAAGGCTTGGGAAATCTTTTTGTAGCCTAAGCCTGCTTTAAATTTCTCAATAACTTTATCCCTGACCTGTCTGCTGTGTTCTTTGGACTTCATGGTGTTGTTGCTCCCAGTAATCTCTTAGACAACCTCTGAGGCCGTCACAGAGCAGCTGTAAAGCACGACAAAGCACGTACAAACCCCAAAACGAATACTTTTGCAAACCACTGTATACACTAAACAAAATGGGGCAACCTTTTTTTTTAGCAAAAGGTTTGCTCTTTCTTTTTTCATGTAGTTAATGACATAACATGTTGGCATAGCACCAGTAAAGTATAGGACTGTCAAACAAGCAATGAACTAATGATTCAAATATTTGTGTTTCGATGTAAACAAAAAACCCTCACAGAATCAGTGAAAGCCTATTGACAGAGGGATAGGCTCTAGCGCCGCCCGCGACCCTGGAAAGGATAAGCAGAAGCGAATGGATGGATGGATGTTCATCAGTTCCTGCTCATGTCTAGCTCAATCCCACCTAACCCTTTTCAACCCATTTGGACAGCTACTCCTGTCCCCAGAATCTATCACTGTGATTACTCCAGACTCTGATTCACTGCTGTAGTTGTGAATGTCCTCTGACTGAAATTCTTTTATAGTGGTAATGTTTTGAGCACAGGCAACAGAAGCTCAATGATCAAACTCAAAAGTTGCATTTTATGGTTTATTTTTCCAGTTTGGCAAGCGATAACAAATATCCATCTTTCTTCCTTCCGGCTGCTTCTCCTGCTTTGATAACAAACCATAGGCCCACCCCAGTGCATGCTGGTCCTATACCAGTCCCTTTAGTTATACAAAATGGCCCTACAGCTCTTTCTGACTGACTTAATGTTGTGGAAATTTTAACAATAACCTGCAACACACCCAGTGAGCTTGATTTGAAGTGGGTTTAATAAACACATTGCAATGTGGAGAGAGCATCCCAGTGAAACACCAGGACCATCTCTAAATTGTGGCCACCGCCCTTACATCTTATATACAGACAAACAGACAAAGAACATCCACAAACTCTTACATGTTGGCCCACATTCCACAGCAGATCAATTATTAGCAGATCCTTAACTGTTCATTCTAAGAAAAGCTCCAACCAACCATCACCTCTTGGGCCCCACTTGTGATCACATTCCACATACATACAAACTGGTGACAGGAGTGCTCTTACTATACTAAAGTGATATGGTTAAAATATGTGATTAATACATGAGAAAAGAAATCTGCCACCACACTTAACATGAAAAAAATAACACAAAACAAAATGAAGCAAAATATTAACCTACAATTAAAACTTGTAAATAACCCAAAAACATAAACTGTCAGGGTCGGTGACCCAGTGTTTTCAGTTTTGTTCATGTTCACTTTATTTTTCCACTTCCATGTGCTCACTCCTGCTTTTCCTGTGTCAGCTCGTCTTGTGTCATTAGCCAGATTATGTTCAGCTGTGTACTCACCGCTCTCTCATTATCATCCTCATCAGTCTGTGTATTTAAGCCCTCTGTTTCTACTCGTTCACTGTCGTGTCATTGATGTTATGTTGTCCTTCCCGTGTGTTCCCTCAGTTCAGTCCGCCATTCTGTTGTCCAGCCAGTCAGTGTCCGTTCACCCTCTGTTCATCCACTCCTTATAATAAACCTTCACCAGTCTTCACCTACCTGCGAGTCCTGCGTTTGGGTTCCTTCTTCCTCGCCTCCACACCATGCCTGACATAAACAAACCAAAAACAAATCACAAAAATAAAGAATAACAACAAATGCGTTCAAATCAGAAAATTCTAGATTTCATTTGTTGGTGTCATAGCCTTTTCCAAAACAGAAAAACAGTCCAAGAAAATGCTATGGGTGGCAACAGGATTGTTGGGTTGATTTTTGGTTTGTATTTTACCACGAAATAAATACCATATATTTTCAAAGAATCAAGTCGGAAGTGTGTTCTGAAAAAATCTTTTACAACTTAAACATAAATGAAAGTTAACTTAATATGATTACACAAATCATTTTAACACCTCCCTTTGTCCCAGCTGACATTTGACCAAAAAAACAAACATTTCCTCCACACCCCTCTAGTGTGCTCTTAATCCCCTAATTAATGGGAGGATCCAAAAGTTACCAGATAAATCCCTTTTCTAAAAGTATAAGTAACTACAGATTTACGTAGCAAAACTAGCTAAGTCTATTCTTACTGTTTTAAAGAAAAACTAAAAATGAATAGAAATTTTGATTCCTAAAAAGTCAATAAAAATGTGCACAGAACTGCTCATACATAGGCAAACTGAGACAAAATAATACTAGACTAAACAGCAGCATGAGTTGTGACTTTAAGTGATGATTTGAGGGAAAAGGTGAAAAACCATTCGCCAAGCTTGAGAATAAACATTCAAAGCCAATAATCTCTGAAAAGTCGTCAGAAATATTGTGACAGAGGGGGAAAACACTTCAGTTACACAAATTATATCATTTTTTATTTACATAATCTATGTTTTATCTAAAGGAAATATGAGAGCATCATCTCCAAGAGTGATCAGAGATCTGATGGACCTCCTGCTGTCTACCAGCTGAGACCAAAGACACAGAAGTTTGGAACTCTGACAAGAATCACTGTTGGAGAAAAAAATCAATACAAGACAAACAGAACCATCTTACTGGTGGGAGAAACAGGAGCAGGAAAATATACTCTGATCAACGCTCTGCTCAACTACACCATGGGAGTGAAGTGGGAGGATAGAGTCTGGTTTCAGATCATAGAGGAGGAGAAAAGTCAGACATCAGATGTGATGGTGTACGAGATCTTTGGTTTTGAAGATGAAACTCTGCCCTACTCTCTGACCATCATCGATACTCCTGGATATGGAGACACCAGAGGGACTGAAGAAGATGACATCATCAGTGAAAAATTATTGGATTTGTTTGGATCAGAGGATGGAGTCCATGAAGTTCATGCAGTGGGTTTGGTCATGAAGGCGAGTGATAATCAATTGTTTGACCGACTGAAGTACATCTTAGATTCGGTTATGCCTCTGTTTGGAAAAAACATGGAGAAAAATATCATAGCTCTGATCACACACTCAGATGGAAGAAGACCTAAAAACCCTCTTCAAGCTCTTGAAGCTGCAGGAATTAAATGTGCCAAAAATGAGAATAATCAGCCAGTTTTCTTCCAGTTTGATAACTGCCAGCTTGAAGATGAGGAAGAAGAATTTCTGAAGCCAATTTTTGAAAGATCAGAGAGAGGAATGAAAGAGTTCACAGCCTTCCTGAAAGAAACTACACCTGTGAAGCCAGAAGCATCTCCTGAAGTGTTAAAAGAAAGTATCAGACTGACAGCCTGCATCCAAAACCTGCAAGAAAGAATCAGATTCACTGAAGTGAAACAAAGAGAGATAAAACAGAGTCAGGAAGCTCTGGAGAAACATGACAACATGATGACTGAAGAGGTCCCTCCATTTGTTGCTGAAGTTTTTAAACATAAAGAACCTATCAGAGCAGAGATGTGTGGGCCGGGTTTTAAAGCAGCTGTCAGCTGTACAGTCTGTGAGGAGAACTGTCACTATCCTGGATGCACGGTGCCCTTAAATCACTGTGAGGTCTTTATAGATGGTCTCTGCACGTCATGTACCAGGAAGTGTCCTGGATCAGATCATGTGAAAGGAAAGTGGAGATATGTGACCAGGATAAGGAGAGGTCAGAAGAATGAACCATCAACAAAAGAGAAGGATGTTCATTTACTTGGAAAGGAAATGAAACTGCTGACAGCAGAGAAGTCCCAGTTCCTGGATGAGTCCTACCAACATGTTGTCAGACTGGAGCAGATCGCTCTGAAAGCTGATTCAGTGTCCACTATGGTCCACTTGGACTACCTGATTGAGAAGATGGAGGAGAAAGGAAACACAGAGAAGGTCCAGAAACTGGAGGAGATGAAAAGGAGAGAGGACGAAGAAGCCAAAGCACAGCGGTATGTTAAACTGACAGCACTTACAGAAGAGTGTCTGACTTTTATAATTATTATTAATGTATACATTTTAATTGTAAGGATTATTATTAATAACTATTTTCTTTTCAAAGGTACATGATAATTAAAAGTTGTGGGAAATATATCCTCTTTATTAAGCTTGAGTAGTGGCATTTTGGTAAAACTTTTATAAAATGAAGTAATTATAATCGTTTTCTTAGACATATTGCAAAATGTGTTCATAAAAAGTTGGCTTTAGATGATTCGTGGTGAAAGGTGACACAGAGTGTAGTAAAGATCAGGGCATGCATGCTTACACACGCACACAGCAAGTAGACTCATTTCTAGGTTAGAGTTAAGCCATAATTTTGCTTGTCACTGCAATTTGTACCTGCAGAGCGACAGTTTTTTACAGAACGTGCTCATGATCTTCCAGAGATAAGTGAGAAGAAGAACAAATAACAGGAAACACCTGGTGTGAAGACGGTGAAAATGTCTCTTTAAGTGTGTTAAAGTTTGTCAACAAAGAAGTGTGGTGACTGTCATTAACTGTAACTTATGCATGTTAGGTATCTGCTTGACGCAAGAAAGGGCGTGAACCCTGACATTTAAAAATCATTTGAAGTGTGCTTTCTAGTGGAGATTTATGCTGAGGATTGTGATGGTGTATTTCTTCCCACACGTGTGTTTGATAAAATCATTGTTTTGACACATCTGGACCAGTGGTTGTTTGTCTCACACATCAATCAAAAGAATTGGAGACAAAGTGTACAGATTAATGTCGCTGCTGAAAGACATCAGTGAAAGTTTGTGCTGGGTTTGTTTCACCCTCAGCATTCAAACTGTTACTTCTCTCAGCGTGACACAACACTAATGAACTCGATCACAGAAACCACATTTCTGTGATCGATGAAGAGCATGAGTGTCACAAATAATGACAATAAAAACTACAAATGAAACTGAAACTGTAGGAATCCAGGCCAGCAACAGCTGTGACCCACTTAGATGGTGTCATGCCAGCCCAATGAAAGGTTGAGGGAGAAAAGAAATGTATTCAGCCTGTGAATTACTGATAAAGAAATGAGAAAAAAAAGCTGTCTTCTGATCATGTGGGCAGCGTGCTGTCACCCTCCACAGTCACCTTTGTCTCAGAAATATATAACGTATAATTTAAAATATCAGTGTGACCACTAATGCTTTGGGAGAGCAGACAGAAAAAATATGAATCTAAATGGTTAAAAGAAAAAATCGTTTAATTTTATGTGACTTTTGATTCTGAGCAGAGATGGATCGGCTCAGTTTTAAATGTTAAACTGTAGTAACATGTTCATAATGTTTACATGTGTACTGAAGACATTTTGTTCTTTTCTCTGCAGGATCAGTTTGAACTCATCACCACATGAAGACATCATCTTAAACAGTTTTCTCATCAGTTCAGCACCCCCTGATGTCTACCAGCTGAGACCAAAGACACACAAGTTTGGAACTCTGACAAGAATCACTGTTGGAGAAAAAAATCCATACAAGACAAACAGAACCATCTTACTGGTGGGAGAAACAGGAGCAGGAAAATCTACTCTGATCAACGCTCTGCTCAACTACACCATGGGAGTGAAGTGGGAGGATAGAGTCTGGTTTCAGATCATAGAGGAGGAGAAGAAGAAAGATCAGACAGAAGGTCAGACAAAAGGTCAGACAGTAAGTCAGACATCAGATGTGATGGTGTACGAGATCTTTGGTTTTGAAGATGAAACTCTGCCCTACTCTCTGACCATCATCGATACTCCTGGATATGGAGACACCAGAGGGACTGAAAAAGATGACATCATCAGTCACAGATTATTAGACTTGTTTCGATCAGATGATGGAGTCCATGAAGTTCATGCAGTGGGTCTGGTCATGAAGGCGAGTGATAATCGACTGAGTGACCGACTGCTGTATGTCTTTGATTCAGTGACGTCTTTGTTTGGAAAAAACATGGAGAAAAACATCATAGCTCTGATCACACACTCAGATGGAAGCAGACCTGAAAATGTTCTTGAAGCTCTTGAAGTTGCAGCAATTAAATGTGCAAAAAATGAGAAGACTGAGCCTGTTCACTTCCTGTTTAATAACTCACAGTATGAAGACCGAACAGAAGAAAATACGTCTTCAAAGCATTCATGGGAACTTACACAGGAAAACATGAATCAGTTGACAGACTTCTTGGGAAAATCTAATCCTCAAAAACTGATGAAAACAGGTGAAGTGCTAAATGAACGAATCAGACTGAAAGCCTGCATCCAAAACCTGAAAGAGAGAATCGAGCTGGCTGAACTGAAACAGACAGAAATCAGACAGATGCAAGAAGCTCTGAAGAAACATGAAGAAAAACAGAGAGAAGAAAAGAAAAATCTTGAAGAAGTTAAAGGAATCCACGAAACTCTAAAGAGCCAAGGAGAACAGAAACATGAAGAAGCTCAAAAAATCCAAAAAACTATGAAGGAACATGAAGAAGAGATGAAGAGGAATGAGAGGTTCACTGTAGAAGTTGATGAGCCCTACAAAGTGAAAGATCCCATTGATAGTGGGATGTGGGGTTTAGTTTTTTATGAAGCAGCTGTCTGCTGTATAGTCTGTGAGGAGAACTGTCACTATCCTGGATGCACAATTGGCTGGAAACCTGCACACTGTGAAGTCATGAAAAGAGGTCGCTGCACTGTTTGTACCAACAAGTGTCCTGCATCAGATCATGTGAAAGAAAAGTGGACATTTGTGACCAAGACAAGGAGGGTAATGAAGACGAATGAAGAAATGAAAAAGACGTATGAGAAGAATGAGCTAGAATGTGAGGTACAGAGGCGTGAGTTAAAAACTCTTACAGAGGAAGTGAACAAAACAATGAAAACAGTAGCTGTTTTATCACAGAACAAAAGAGAAAAGGAGCAGAAATATGAAAAGTATCAAAAAGAAAGTGAGGAGAAGTGTACCCTGTTGGAAAATCTCGAAAAGGAAATGAACCAGCTGAGAGCCGAGAATTCCCAGTTCCTGGATGAGTCCTACCAACATGTTGTCAGACTGGAGCAGATCGCTCTGAAAGCTGATTCAGTGTCCACTATTGTCCACTTGGACTACCTGATTGAGAAGATGAAGGAGAAAGAAGACACAGAGAAGGTCCAGAAACTGGAGGAGATGAGAAGCAGGGTGGATGAAAAAACCAAAAAAGCAGCATATTTGTACAAGTTTAGTCAAATACCATCAGCTATGAAAAACATTGGGACATCCTTGGCCTGGTATAAGTGAAACATGTAAAGAAGCATCAGGCAGCTGTGTAGATGGCTTCTTTTTTCTGATACTTTCTATACTACATGGTCAGATGTACCCCACAGGTTTTTCTTGTTTAGCTAACAGATGGCATATTACTATTAAAAATGCATATTAGAAATTACTTGTTGATTATTGAACAGCACTGACATCTCTACTTAGAGAGCAGTCAGTTTGTTTAGCAGTTTTGTAGTCCTAAGGAGAAGCTACTGTGGCTCAGTGTTTGTTTTATGCATCAAATCAGTACCAAACACAGCATGTGGCTCAATCTGCTTTGGTGCTGCCTTCAGAAAAAAGTTAATTACTTCTAAAATAATTTTCGCCTCGAGAAGAAATTGTTATATAAAAATTCCCCAAATTTTTAAGAGTTGAATTTATAGCATTTAAACAACGTGAAAATGACTGATCAGTGAAACATGGTGACCTTTTCTTCAAAGGTCTCATGTACAGAGCTATAAATCATGTGGTAATGATATTTTGTATTTTTATAGCGGCTGATAGTTAATTGAATGTGAGGAATTGATTTTTGATGCAGACATGAGGGCCTCCTGCTAAGACGGGAACATCATTTGTGCTTTCATATTTTATCCAGTTAATAAAACGAATATATAATTTCTCATTTATAGAAAATCATTTGATTTATTGCTTTTTCTTTATTAACATACATGTATTTCACACAGGTATTTGTACTTATGTAACATCTTATGACTAATATTACGACATAGACCCCACAGTGAGTTATTATGCAGAGCAGAGCTGGTCTGAGCTGCCAGCTGTGCTGTAAGTGCAGTGAGGACGCCCCCTGCTGTTCAATGATCAGTACAATAGTGTATGAGAACAGCTCCCTCTGTCTCTGATGTCACAAACTAAACTGTGTTCTCCACAAATACATGTGTTTCTGTCAAGTTGTTCTACTGTTGTCAGTGTGAGCTTTATTCTGCTGCTCCTCTCATGGTGACTCAGTGAAGTGGTTGTGGGACAGTAACATGTCACTCCAGATCCAGAGACAAGTTGTTGTCTTTCTAAACAGTGAGTACAGAGGAGGTTGGAGACACTGAACTCAGACACAGTGTAAAAATATTCAATCCATCTTTGACTCTTCAGTGTTTCTGAGTCCAGTCCTATAACATGATCTTCTTCCATTTGATCGATGCCTCGGATTCTTCATATGTCTTCATGCTTTGAATGGCTGCTTGAAATATTTCTGATGATTCAGGCCAAGTAGAAACATTTGGATCCTTTCATGTTGGACTTTGTTTAAATTCTCTATATTCTGTTCTTCCATATTAAATCATCTCCTGCTTTTTGCACTTTTTTGTCAATTCTCAATAAAAGTTCTGCTTCATTCAGTCACTTTGCTCAGAGTGTCTTCACTGGATCATCGGCTGATTTTCTGTTTCTCTTTGTTCCTCAAACACTTTCAATTTATTGTTTGCACCAGAGAAACAGGGACATGCCTCTTAAACCATTTTAACATTTAACACAAGGAAGTAACTGTAACAACCAGTAGTAACAACAATATAGTTATGTATTTATATATAATTACACAACGTGCTTTATTTGGATGTGTGTGACTCTCCTGGTCCTCCTTATTCATCACTGACTCTTCACCTGAATAACTTTGATTGTTATTTGGTGTCAGCACTAAACACTCATCATGACACCAGCAGTATATCATCACATGTAATTATGAACGTGTGCACTGTGTTATATGTTTTTCTTCCAGATCACAAGGTGAAACATTTGAGGCCTGTCTGAACACTCAGTGTTCACGCTGTGTGAAGGCTGCAGGTAAAAAATACATCAGTCAGCTCAAAAAACATCCAAAACCTGCATTTGTAACCTGAGTGAGATCCACGAGTATCGATGATGATAACTGATGGAAAAAATACAGACAGGCTCTCTGATTGGTTCTTATTGTAAAGCATTCAGCTCCATCTTGGTTCATATCTCCAGCCGTGACTCACACAGGAGGAGCAGGTAGGAAGTGTTAGGGAGGGGCTGTTGTCTCCGTCTCCATTATGCTCCATGAACAGAGACGTGTGGATTCTGAGCTCCATGGATCAGTTGACAGACTTCTTGGGAAAATCTAATCCTTAAAAACTGATGACAACAGTTGAAGTGTTAAATGAATCAGACTGAAAGCCTCCATCCAAAACCTGAAAGAGAATCAAGCTGGCTGAAGTGAAACAGAGAGAAATCAGAAACATGAAGAAGCCCTGAAACAGACAGGAAATAAAATAGAATTTAAGAAAATATTGAGTCTTTCAGAAAATCTTGAAAAGGAAATGAAACAGCTGAGAGCCGAGAATTCCCAGTTCCTGGATGAGTCCTACCAACATGTTGTCAGACTGGAGCAGATCGCTCTGAAAGCTGATTCAGCATCCACTATTGTCCACTTGGACTACCTGATTGAGAAGATAAAGGAGCAAGGAGACACAGAGAAGGTCCAGAAACTGGAGGAGATGAAAAGGTGAGTGGACGAAGGAGCCAAAGCACATGTTGGTACGAGCTTCAACAAACTCCATCAGCTATCAGAAACATTGGGAGATCCTTCCCCTGCTGTCAAACAAGTCAAGAAGCATCAGGCAGCCCCGATACTCTCTATACTACATGTTCAGATGTACACCACATGTTTGTTTGTTTTTGCTAACAGATGGCACATTACTATTAAAAAACACTGATTACTTATTGATTACTGATCAGCACTGACATCTCTACTCAGAGAGAAGTTCCAGTGCCTCAGTGTTTATGTCAGGAAGAGCAGTTTTATGCATCTGACATCAAATCTGTACCAAATACAACATGTGGCTCCATCTGTTTGTCACGGTCCTGGGTCATGTGACCCAGCATTTTGAGTTTATTGTTGTATTTGTGATTTCTTTAGTTTAGGTTTTTCTATGTATTCTTAGTTATGAGTCTGTTCTAGTATATTACCTGGTCTGTCTTGTCCTCAGTGTTTCAGTATGTCTGTGTCTAAAGCTCCCTTTTCAAGAAATTATTTTCTGCCTGGTCTTGTGTCTCCGTGTTTCTGTAACATCATTCAGAACTTGATAACAAGCTGACATTTTCCTCCTGACACCAACGATCAGCTCAACAGACCCTCATTTTACCTGCATATGTCTGCTCACCTGTCAGCTGGTTAACACCTTCTGCTGATTGGGGAAACACTCAGGTTACCTGGTGATAGTCACAGTTTAATGTGGGCAGCTGCTGTTCAATATAACATCGTCACAATATTGTGCACAAAATAAGTAAATGTAGTTTGTTTCCTGAGCTTAGAGCTGCTGGAACTTGTGTTTCCCTCCGAGTGACTGATCCGAGTCGAAGATGATAAACAGGATTTAAAATGAGGAGCAATGGACGCTGAGCAGCCTACAAGAAACACATGATTTCATCCAGGTTCCATAAACTTGTATCCAATCTGACTCATCTAATGCTAAGTGCTTTATTTATCAGTGTGAGATGTGTACTAGTACGTTTCTGCCAGACAATCATTGTACTAAAATGAAGGTAAAGATGATAAGTGTATTTATTGTTTGAGGTGTCTGTAGTGAATTGCTAAATGACTCATTGTCAGAATTAAATTCCCAGCACCCTGAACTCATTTATTATTTTAAGGTATAATAAAACATTACAAACACAGTGTGGTGACGTTTGATATTGCCCAGAACACCTGAGATTGATTATTTAAGACGATTTATTTTTCACAATATCCACCAACTGTGTGCGACCATCACCACTTAATCTGAGTTAATTGAAATAATTGTTATCTGAAGAACATAATGATGTGTGTCTGCATTAGCACTGGCACAAACTGGAAAGCTTTTTTTGCCAAGGTCTTTAATCAAATATCAGATACACTCACAAACGGAGACGAACGTTCAGTAAAAATGAGGAATCTGCAGATCCAACATCTGGAACACAGTGAAAAACATGAATAAATGTAGCCAGTTCACATAAAAACCAGTTAATATGGAACACTGGTTTGTCTGGTGTGGCAGCTTTTTACTAGTTGATAATTCATTGACAACCAAAACTAAATGAATACTGGCACAAACTGACTCTGAGGCTGTTTCTCAATATGTGTACTTGTGTTCTCATGGGCTTGTGATACATCATCAGTTACAGACCAAGTACCCATCAAGCCAAGTACGCTCAAAATTCCCAGATGTGGTCTCGCTCCTCCTTTTTTTTCGAGCATGCATCGGTGGCTTGTGTGGACTTGGTACAGCTAAATATCCCAGAATGCATTTTGTCCAAAACTCAGACGCGGTAATGGTGGAGGACCGCAGCTAAAAACGTTTAAATATTACTCTTTCTGGGTCACAAAATAAACTTTGAAAATATTTCCAGGCGAGAATGTAGCTGTGTAAACTTCAAACATCTGCTCGATTTATCAAGACACCACATATTTGCAAACATGCTCTGATTTTTTCAGAGGCGTCTGTTACCCACCAGCGCAATAGCTAGCCGGGGTTCAAGCCTCACTAGAGCCAGTGGGAACAGCGAACTCCCAGCACATCGTTTTCAAATACCCACAGTCTTTGGCTACTCAGGTTAAACATGACATATAAGTCACTAAGATAACTTAAAATGTTACTGTTTGGTTTATTTCAGAGTTTGATTTGTTCCTGAGTAAATTGGTTTGTTCAGCTTCATAACTGGACTGTTTTATTTAGTACTGACATCTTACTTGGAGAGCTGTGGCTATATTTTGAGTTTCAACCATCATATCCCCTGATGTAAAAGATAAAGATAAGATAAGATAAAGAAGAACTTTATTGTCATTGTAGCTACACAACGAAATTTGTTTGGTATCTCACAGAGGCCAGCAGCAATAAAACAAGAAGCAGCATATTAACATAATAACCATAGTAAACGTTGTGAAAGTATAAAATATAAAGTAAAAAGAAGGCACTTAGCACAGTAAATAAAAATATAATAGTATTTACACTATGGTAGTTGAGCCCAAACATGAATGTCCCATAAAGTGTCTGAGATAATAAGTATAAGAGTATTTACAATGTGGTAATTTAGGGCAAACATTAATTGCCAGTAAACGACTTTGTATATTAGCAGCAGACATGACATGGGGTAAAGAAGAGAGAGGGAGAGTTAGCTATTGTGTGTTGGGGGAGGGGTGACACAGGCTACAGCTAGGGTTGCCAACTCACTGAAAAATAAATAAGGGACACCTCGTGGCCAGGGCCGGGCAACCCAGTTCACACTTCCCAGTGTCGTGAATTTTGTAGTTCTTTTTTTTGTGTGTGAAATTATTTTTTAACCATTTGACTTGAATTTGATTTAAGCAGATGCATATTCTTTGTGATATGACCATATGGGAAACAAATGATCATTTAGCCATTTATTTTTAGCTCAAAATGACAACATTAACACAATAAAACAGGTCTCTTTCTTAAACAGAAGCCTGTTATGCTTAACTTCTGAGAATATAAGTAAGTCTTTCTTTAAAAAAAACTCTGTCCTGCTTAACTTAAAATTATGAACATGGTAATAAATCCGGTCAATTTCTAGCAAACCAGCTAAAAAT